GGTGGTGCCCCGTCAGTACCCCAAGGAAGCGTCCTCGGGCCTCTGTTTTGGAATTCTTTAATTACATTCATGTGTAAGTGAGACGACCATCAATCTGACGTTTCATAGCCTCGTGGCGTGGAGCCGAGATGGCAGGCGACTCTAGCCCCAGAGTAGACACAGTCAATGCTCTTCCCACATCAGAGGGACTTGGCCTCCTTGTCAGCTCCAAACATCCTCCTCGACGGCAAAAATTTGTCTCTGCAGGACTCCATCAAGACCCTCGGCGTAGAGTTCGATAGCGGCTTAACATACACGGTTCATCCAGCAGGTGGCTAAGGCAGCTGCTTGGTAGCTTGGATGCATCCGTTGCATCGGCCATCTCCTGGACGGCCCTGGTTGTAGCAGCGCTCTACAAGTCCGCTTGTGTGGTCTGCCTATCCGCCTTCATACCCTCTCCTGCATGATTAGGTTTAGAAGAGGACGGAGGCACTTATACGATACAAAACACAGCAACCGCTGGATGCCACACTCCATTCATTGTAACCCCGCCAACGTTGGCGGCCTGTGTGTAATATACAAGGTTATCATAGTGCAGACTCCACATCTGTCAAGCCTACGCCTTCCCACTCCACACGACTCCAGCCACAACACCTGTGGTGGACACGAGAGACAATAGCAAGTGCGTATGCCCTTCGCCAGGACAAACTTCCATCTGCGCTCATTCCTGCCAAAATATGGGCTCTCTGGAACCATATTGTGAGAAACACCAGCCTCCATCACGCAACGTCTCTACAACAATTCAAGAGACACGTCAACATCTAGCTCCTCAACCAGTAGCAGATGTGCATAGTGAAAACAGACAGTGTGTGTGTGTGTGTGTGTGTAAACGAGTGCCATCACATCATTATAGTCAGGAACCATAACCAATACATGGTGCAAGCCAGCTTCGACAGTTTCCTTGCAGTTTTCGACCTCACTAACCAAGTAAATTTCCCCACACACTATTTAGGTTCCTCTTTAGATCCAGTAATTACGGACCTACCTGGCAATTTAGTGGCCTGCTCCCCTATTACCTACGTTGGCACATCTGATCATGAGACTGTGTTGACAGAAATAGTATTAAAAAAAAAAACAAAGACACAGACAAGTCACGCGGATCTGACTGAAGTGAGAGAACGGAAACTGGGGGAAACTAAAACAAACTTCGCAAGAAATAGAGTGGGCTAAAGTCTTACAAGGAAAAACAAACCTTCTGGTGGAAAAGCTCACTGACATCCTACTTCAAGCACAGAGTGAGTGAGATCCACATGAGAACCATGTGTCCAATAACTACGTGACATGGTTTGGGCCTCGGTGTCATGCTTGGCTCCAGTATAAACGGAATCCAACCCGAAGAAATATAGCAATACACAAGCAATCTACAGATCACATGTTTGCCACACATATATAAAAATGACAAAACAGGAAGTAAGCAAAGGTGGAATATTGTTAATGAAAAACAAGGAGAATCGATAGATGAGACTATTCTACCTCTCAGAGGTCCTTGTGAGGAACTGGCTCTTGAAACCCAAAAGAGAAGGTTCAAGTCTTTGCTCGTTATCTTAATAATATGACCACCTCAAATCCTAAATTAACGCCATCTTCACTGCTGTCGACGTCTCTTTAAAAATATAGATGAGTCCAAAAACAACTAGTCCAGACTTGTAACCAGAAAGAGTCACCACTTTATTCTACTCTAACAAGCAATCCCACCAAACACAAAATATTGGCATAGATAACCAATTCACCTCAAGTTGAACTCTACTCAAAATATCTTTGAATTGCATTGCACAGCACGTCAACCTACACGAAACAAAAGCACCGCACAAACTGGAAACGAGAAACAACATGATAAGAAAAGTTGTCAAAAAACCTCTCTCGGAAACATTGCCCTGTTTTCATGTTGCACTGTAGCAGAGGAAGGCGCCCCATTACCTCTGCACGCATAAGTCTAATCAAACGAGGCCATGAGGGTATTATCTGGAACTAGACTCAGCACCTACAACATGGCTTATTGTACTGAAGAGAAAAGCTTCTGATATCGGAAGTCATCTCCCGACTGATATTACTTGAACTTTACTACAATATTGAAAGGAAAGATTTCATCATATAAGCGTCATGTAGATTACAAGAAAAACTTTGAAAAGGAGCGGAGACCATGTTCAACCTCAAGGAGTTGCCATGAGATTTTGGCTCTTGACAAAATATTCAAGAACACGCCATGGCAAGACATTAACATGGCAAGAAATTAGCATGCGAGAGTCCCGTCTCCCTGCTGCATGTCCAGAAGCACCACAGAACACTCCAATAATAATCAAAGGAGCTAGGGAGACCTGCATAATATACGCAAAGGAATTGGCAATGGAGGTTATCCAGTGTAATACTACTGTAACACTAGCCATCCCATATAGATAGACAGCGTATTCATAAGGAGGCCAAGCTTTGTACAGAAGCATGTACCCTCTCTGGCGCCACCTCT